AAAATGACATTCCAAAATATACAACTTTGGACCTCAAGCTGAGAGGCTATTTCAAAATCAAACTGTAAAGTAGACTAATTCAAAATCAAAATATAAAGTAGATCGACTAAAAAGTAGATATTAATATGCGTGTATCTGTGCATGTACATGTGGATGTAGTAGGTGTTATGTATTCTAAAATAACTAAAATATCATCTTACCAAAGATATTTGGTAAGAAACAGCAAATGCTTGGAAGAGTTTTCTCTGAAGTTAGTTTCCTTATTTACTCAAAGACTAGACCTCCCAAAAAAGAACATAATTACCTTCAGATCTTGTTATTATAATTTCATTAGCCATGTAAGATTAAACTCAAATCATAGAGGAAGAGATTAAAAATCAAATATTACATTAAGAACCCAAAATATATTTGTATTAATTCACTGTCTCCTCTCCATTCTCCCTCCATAAAAATCCTTTTATACTCCCCTAAAATTGCAGATAGCTCTCCTCCCTCCCTCTCTCCTATAGAGGTTTTTAAGTCTCAAACAGCTTACATGTCTTATTTTGTATGGCTCCTGTAAATACATTCACATTAATAAATTTGTACATTTTTTTCCTCCTATTAATCTATTTGTTTCAGCAGATTCAATCACTGAAACTTCAGAACTGAAATTTGAGCTTTCTATACCACTAAAACAATTCAGTCAAACTAAATTTATCTGATTTCCAAAAATAACATCTCATCCCATTACTTCAGCTCAGTGAAGCTACAATATATATGGTTAGAAAACAAAAGTTGCATACTTACATAAACAATTGATTTGAAGTTTTCAAATGCTTTCAAAAATATGCAACATTTAGTATCTCTGCTTGTAGATGCTGACAAAACAATAAAGCTAGCCAATGCAATGGTGTCCTATATATGAAAAAAAAGTTTGTTATTTAATTATGAAATATCGATAACCCAGAATGTTATACAAATCATTATTTAAAAACAGGAATTACTTCTATAAAATGGAAAACTGCTTAACCTAAATTGATTTCATGCTTATTGAATATATGTTTTAGACTAATACCTCCTTTGACCCTGAACTTCTACAACCATAGAAAAGAATAATGTCCCACTTCATGGCCCAGGAAAACACTAACATAATCACATAGAAGATTTTTTTTTTAGTGGGACTTAAAAATCATTGTTTATCTCAGCTTATATAAATAAGCTGTATAATTAAACACAAGATAACAAATGGGTTAGCACTATTAAGAATAAAATTTCAGAACTGAGAGACTACATTGAAAAAAGCATGTCTTTAGTGTAAAAACTCTATATTACAAATTACATATGTATATAAATCCAGAACATGATATAAAACTAGGAAATTTCCAGTTATACCTAAGAAGAGATATATTAAACTTATGTTTATAACAGTAAGAAAAAGCCATTCTCCATTTGTTCGTGTCATTCTCCACTTATTTGTATCTGAATATTTTTCAGATACTGAAACATAAACTGAGTTCTGTCTTGTCCATTGTACATATTTTGTTTTCTTATTCTTCTAATTTTAATAACAAATCTTAAGATGTATAAAAATTCTTGGACTTTAGGTCATCTTCCATCAATAGTTTTAATCTCCATCAAATGAAAGTCTACATAACTA